ACTTTACTTTACACACACAACGACGCACACTGCACTTCTTCAAACGTAGGTATCTGTTTTTAACTGTTTATTACTCAATTCTTTTCAGTCGAAAGACTGTTGAATTCTTTATTTACATTTTGCTATTTATACAATTCAATCAATTACATACATTGTATTATAGTTTAACTATTTCTTTGTTATTAATTAATTAAACTTTTCATTGTTTTCCCAACCTAATCGTCATATTAATGCACTTGATGATCAGGGTATCTATCATACCCGATATTGCATGTGCCGCCCCACACCTTGATTTACCGATCGATCATGTGGTCACGTGAATCGATCGATTTATATCTTCATCCATCCATCTTTCTTCCCAATTCACTTAACCTTTCATCTCCAATTTGTATACCTTTCACAAGGTATAGGAGCTGTTCATAAACTACGTGACACTATGTCCAAATTTTTTAAAAAATATGGACATAGTCCAAATGCCAACACTGAATTTATTTTAACAGCAAATAAAATTTATGATTTTGGCAATATTAGATCCCTTGAATTAGACTTATTATAGCAGTCACGGGATTCAATAATTATGGGAAGAATTCTTTATTCTATTAATATTGTGTTATAGTATGGTCTAATTTTTACAACATTACCTTATTTTATTATAGGATATTTGCACAGAATTGGCGTTTCAATATACTTTGCAGATTAAATGAGTCAAGTAATAAATTTATTTTTTTTGAAAATGACTATTTATAGAACTGATTTTTTCTTTTTGATTTCTACTAAAAAATCAATTTTAGGCACTAATACTAATCTAGGTTGCGTATCAAAAAACTTGATTCGCAATTATACCGTATGCCACTACTTACAATGCCCGGATCTTATTCAAAAATTCCATCTTTAAAATTGAATAGTACTCGTGAAAAACTGGGTACTATATTTGGGATATATCATATTAAAGGTAGAAATCAATATACTCTGGGTTTTATTCAAGAAACAGGTTGGTAGTGATGATGAGTAATATCCGGCTCTTAATTATAGAGTATAGATACCGAAAGCAGGGCATACGGTAGTTTGATCACTACTGTAATATTTTCGTAACACCTAGTTTACATTGGTAAATATTTACACCAAGACCATCTTTTCTAAACACTTTAAGAATCTTACACTTTGCTAATACACTCTAAGGTTCAATGACGATCGTTATAGAATTAATTTTTATTATGGTTCGTTGGAATTCTTTATTTAGTTTAATTGTTGGTTGAGAACAAGCTAATATTCGGTTCTTTTTTTTTTTTTAGAGTTTGGCCATAATGGGGACTAAAATTTTTTGTTCTTGCATAATTGCTGAACATATACTTTATAGTTCGCACTAGAAATTCAAAAATCAAGGTATAGTTAATTTACTTAAATCTTAATTTAGTGTTATACTGGTAGTTGAAAAATGAATAACAGGATTAATTTATGTGAAATAGGGCCAATAGTTCTTAAAAATACAAATTCATGTGAAAAGATACTACAATAATATCGAAAATATTATTATATAATAAAAAATTGTAATAAATAAAAATAGTAATCAAAATGATTTTATTATATTTTTGAGTAATTCTATTATTCGAGTGCCTTTCATCATTGTCATTTTCATAGCACAACAATATAAATCAGAATACTGTACTGCACTGACCAAAAAACTTGGGTATATTATATAGTAGTGGGCCAGTATTACAAAAAAAAATTCAAGCATATATATATTCTACACTTACAATAAGCAGTCTAAAAATTTTAAAAAATCTGTATTTAATTAATAGAGGTCTCGTATTTTGCACTGGGTACTGATGTTAAAAAGAGATATTTTGGCCAGTGCACTATGGTAGCAATTTTCAACTGCTCTGCCCAGCCATTTTTCATTTTTGATCTAAAATAAAATATTATATAGTATTAAGTAACTGTTTAAAGATAGAAATCAAAATAAATGCCAATTTATAAAACTGGATACAGATCTTTAATACACATTCCTTCAATAATGGTATTTCAGTATGCTACAAGATTCTAGTGTTGTAAAAAAATGATAGAAGAAAAAAATAAGCAAGAAAGAGAAATCAATGAGTATATTCAAAATGTTGATATGATACTCTGATATGAATTTCTTTTCACCTTTACTTTGAGTAATTCTTATAGCTACGCTAGTAGTTGAGATTGCTATTTGATGAGCGATTAATTTAGTAAATTGAAAGGAATTGTCTTTAATGAATAGAAGAGGTCAGCATGGGATAAGAGTACATCACAAGATTTTTACCGAATTTTAAAAACATAGGGATATAAATAAATTTTTACCGTTGAGAACATAAATTTCAAAACAGATTTCTGACCTGCGGGTTGATAGCATAGCGGTTATGCTTCCAGGTTGCAAATCAGATAGTTGCCGGTTCAATTCCTCCCAGCGGTGAAATAATGAAAACCCAAATATGGAAGTGAAACACCGCAGGGTACAGAGAACTCAGGACATCTACAGATAGACGTATTCGGTGAATAGTTATTCCGAAAAGTTGTGACTGTGAAGCAAGGCATGTTAAAACCCTGATTTGGAATAACCAAAGTCATGAGACGTACTGTGAGGCCAAAGTCTGAGAAGATATTACAAGAACTCGTGGCACTACCGGATTGGCTGGTGAAATCTCAGTCTAATATTAAGGTATTTCGACCTTTCCGGAGTGTCGTGCAGGCGGTCGGATTTAGGCCCCAATGAGAGAACCAGAGAAATGGCAGGCAATGGATCTCAGGTAGATACACATGATTCCCATATGGGAATCATGGAGGTCCTGTGACACTAGTAGTGTAGGGTCAACTATAAAGATAGCTGGACCAAGTCATGTCTAGACTTGCCAAAATAATAAAAAAAAACAAAAAAAAAACAAAACAAAACAAATTTCCAATATTGGTTGTGCTTACATAATTTTAATAGCATAAATCCGGTTTAATTAGTCTATTCGAATTTACTACCTTCAGTTAATTTCAAATACCATACAAGTGCCTTAGCTATATACCATTTCCATAGCAGAATCTAGTATTATTTGCACAGACTTAAAATTTAGCTGTATCTATACCTTCGTCATAGAATATTTCAAGGTTAAAAATGTCTAAATTACCATCTTCAGCAGATTTCAAACACTACTCAAATGCCTATTTTCATTACCACTGCTTATAGATTACATGTCCATCTGAATTGCCATCTTCGGCAGCTTCAAATACCACTCAATACTCTTCATGTCCCCTAAAACAGTATCTCCGGTTAATATTCCATAAAATGCTGTTTATTTGGTGTATTAATATTGAGGACGCGCATACTGCTATGTTAAAACTTCTTGATAAAAAGAGATATACAGTAAAATCTCCATAAGTGCACCTTCTATAAGTACACACTCTAACTAAATGCATGCTCAAGTTCTGGCCCAAATATATACATGCACCCTATAAATGCACATTCTTTTATTAATCTATAAGTGCATGTTATTAAAGCTTGGTCCCAAGAGTGTGCACTTTTAAAGGTTTTACTGTAGTTACTTTGGCATTTATGATGACCATATTTAGAGAATTAACTCCTTATATAGTGCATTTCGAGAGATCATAGCATGCTAATAGAATATTTTATGTAGTTAAGTCTAAATCGCTTTTTATAAGTGCATTCTTTCTCAACAACTTTGTACTTTGGGTTGACATTGCAATTATCTTGCGATCTGCATATTCTTGACACTGTTAAGATATTTACTTAGATAATACCATATTAATCTATAATTACCTCTATAGTGAGATTGCTGTTTTTGGGGTTTTTTTTTTGTTTTTCTAAAAAAAACTGTATATTCACAAGGTGGATTTTTTATTAATTAAACCGTGTTAAATTTACTTAGTATATGTTAATCATTTTATTCGAGTAACTCACGAATTATCAATTAAAGAAAAAAAAAATATTTATAAAAAAAAACTATGCCAAAAACATGCTAGAAAGCAAAGCCAAAAGTCTATTTCAAGATTTATATCAATGGCGAAGGCAATAAATTGAAAACCTAAAAATTTAAAGAAAAAGAAAGAAGTAAATATATTACTGAAGAAAAAAAAAAAAAGAGAACATAAAAAAAAAAAAAGAATTATGCCAGAAAGCAAAGCCAAAGGTCTATTTCAAGATTTATATTATAAATGCTAAAAACAACAAAGAGAAAACCTAAAACCTAAAGAAAAAAAAAAAAAAAAGAATAAATTTATAAGAAAAAACCCACACCAAGAATGTACCAAAAAGCGAAGTGAAATGTTTACTCCAAGATCCATATTATAGACAATGAAAAAAAAATATATTGTGGGGGCTGATGCTGAAATTGGCTGATGCTGAAAATCACGTGACATAGCGTAGATCTTTACATAGATGTGTCAACAAATTTGACACTACCAATATAGCACTTTTTTAAAATAAGGCCAGTGCTAGCTTTATAAGCCATCATGTTCAATTTAGCACTTTAAGTGCAGATCGCATTTTTCGTTGTGGAATTATTTGGAAAGCCTGAACAAGCTGGAGGTTTGAGGCTAGGAATAAGAAGGATAAGCTTATCTTTTTTACGCATTGCACAGAGAAGCTAGAATGTGAACCTTTTTATAGCATTACAGCATTATATGAGAAACTTGGTTGAAACCGGGAGGGGTTAAAAACAGAAAGTGACCAATCTAGTTTTTTTTGAAAACACTAAGCTCATCTTCACAACAGAGAATTTCAATAAAAGCTAGTACATCGTGGATCAAAAAAAAAACACTAACTAGTTGATTCAACAGAACAAAAGTGAGAAAGAAAAAAAAGATTGTAGTTTCTTTTTCCTTCTCTATAAAATATGAAACTTATTTGTAACATTATAATAGGAAATCTATGTGATTTAAAAGTTGAGAATTTGTGTTTTTTTTTTCTTTTTTTTTTTTTTAAAAAAAAAATCGAGAGCTAGTTTATTTTAACGATGAATCTAGAATAAGGTATGAGCAAAAGGTGTTTAAACGAAAACCTGAAATGGAAAATTGCAGAGTTAAAAAGTAAGTGCGAAACTTACATTTTTACACATACTCAAAAATAGGTTGAGACATTGAGCTAAAACCTTAAAGGTTTTTTTTCTTTTAAAAAAAAAGGTTGGTTGGTTCATGATCAGTTTGGCTTTCATTTTTCATAAATGTGAAATTTACTTTACTTTATTAATAGGGAATTAAAATGGCATGAAATATATATAAAACCTAAAAATTATAGAATTAAGGCTTCGAAATCTAATAAGGTTGGAAACATGGGCAAAAAAAAAGTTAAAAAGATCAGTTGGCTTGTATCAGTTTAGCCTAGCTTTATTTGAATGTGAGACATACATGTCTTTATGCTACTACAGAGAATCCGAAATTATATTGGCTGCGATATTAAATTAAGATCTTGAAAGTTTTATTTTTTTTCTTTAAAAAAAAAAGGGTTGTTTATGATCGGATCAGTTCAGCCTTCTTGTTTTGTAAATATGAAACTTACTCTACTTTATTTAATAGAAATTAAAATGGCGTGAAATATATACTTAGAATAATATCTAAAAATTATAGAATAAGACCTCAAAATCTAATAAGGGTGGGAACATGGGCAAAAAAAAAAAAAAAAGTCAGAAGGTTAGTTGGCTTGCAATCGATTTAATTTTATTTGAATGTGAGACTTACTTTTTTTATGCTACTAACAGGGAACCCAACTGAGATATTGGGCTAAGATCTAGAAAGTTTTTTTTTTTTTAAAAAAAAAAGAGGTTTGTTCATGATCAGTATGGCCTTTTTTTGTAAATGTGAAATTTACTTTGATATTGACAGAAACTAAACTGGCATAAAATGTATAATTTGTAATACCTAAAAATTATAGAATTAAGTCCTCAAAATCTAATAAGGGTGAAAACATGAACAAAAAAAAAAAAAAGGCAGAAAGGTTGGTTTGCTTGTAATTAATTAGTTTTTTGAATACAAGACTTACTTTTTTTTATGCTACTAACAGGCAACCCGAAATATATATAATTGGATGTAACATCTAAAAATTATAGAATTAAGGCTTCAAGAGTGGGAACATAGGCAAAAAAAAAAAAAGGTTGGTTAGTTTGTAATCAGTTTAGCTTTTTTTTTTTGAATATGAAACTTATATTTTATGTCACTAACAAACAGGAACCCAAAATAATACCAGTATGAAATATAGTTGCAAAGAAAAAAAAGTTAGCCTTAACTACTAAATGCACAATATAAGTGTGTAGTATTAAGAAAAGGTAGTCCTTTATAATATAGAATTTTGGTAAGGTTATACTTATCATTTGTTATTAGGTAAGCATGAATATCCTTTTTTGTAGCCGCCCAAAATTCTGTGCTTTGATTAGAATGTTGATTTTTTACTCACTAGAGTTTGGAACCAGATTTATTTTTTTATATATTAAAACTGATCAAACCCAGTTTCAATATATGAATAATAAACCAGTTCTAAACTCTGTCAAACACGTGATGATTGATAGTAAATCGACAAATAGCTATTTATGTTTTTGTTGTTTTTGCGATCATTAAAACAAACCACCTAAACTATTTAATTATAAAAATTTAAAACCTCTAAACCTAACTACAGAACTGTTAAACCTTCAGAAATTGATTTACAAAAAAAAAAAAATTTTTTTTTTTTTTTACCAAGTTAATCATGCCTGCAATTCTGAAAATTCTGGAAACACCTGAAGAATACCAGTCATTGGTAGCATACCTTCAATTTAATATTATTTCTTCAAATTTCAAAGGCCCCGCAGATAAACATAATTTCATAAGGTGGTGTAAAAAATTTGAGGTTGATAAAAACAGAGTTCTTTATCTTTCGGCTATTTCTAAAAATGGTGAAGTCAAATGTAGAAGGCGTCGTATAGTTCCCCTATATGATAAAGAGTTATATGATTTATTGTTAGATTATTTTCATGATCGAGCTAACCATTATAGCTATCATAAAACATTTGCTGCACTCTTGGAAAAGCATATCGGTATTATGCAACAAAGTGTATAGGAATATATTAATGAATGCACTGCTTGCTCTATAAATAGCTTAATTAAAGAAAAAACAGATATGAAACCTGTTGTTTCAATGGCACCATGGCACTATATCCAAATTGATCTTATTGATTTTCAGGATTTTTCCAAAGTAAACTACAGATTTGTATGGTTGCTTACTTGCATATGCATTTTTTCCAAGTATTTAATTGCAGTTTCTATGAAAAATAAAGAAAATGGTACTGTCGCGATGCACCTTGTTAAAGACGTTTTTAAAATTCTTGAACCTCCAGTAGTTATACAAAGTGATAACAGTAAAGAATTCGTGGGACAAATTGTTATACAAATTTGCGAAATGCTAAATATTACAATCAAACATGGGCATCCTTACCACCCACAAGCCCAAGGACAAATAGAACGCCTAAATCAGACCATTGGCCGCAGATTTACAAAATTGTTATGGGATAACAATAACCAATTGCAACGAAAAGACTGGATAAACATTATAGATATGTTTGTCATATCATATAATTCGTCAATTTATAGAGCACATGGTCGTATACCACATGAGATCATATTTGGCTGGAAAATGCATGGTGTTTATGAAACACCGTGCATTTTCTAGTTAGAAGTGAAGGCAGAAGAAAAGGCAGAAGCAGCAACAAAAACAGCAGCAGCAGCAACAAAAACAGCAGCAACAGAAGCAGCAGCAGCAGAAAAAATGGTAAAAGAAACGGCAGAAAAAATGGCAGAAGAAAAAAATATAATTGAAACTGCCATCAAACAATATATTTTGCAAATATCGAAGATTCAACAATCTGTAAATGATAAATTAGGAAAATACTGTGAAAAAATGTGTTAGTACAGAAGTGTTCACCGAAAGAAGTCGTCTAATAATACAATTGAGGCTAGAACACAGGTTATCATTGCGCCGGATCATGACACAAATCCACAAACTCGAAAACGAAAACTGCAACCAATATATTCACAAGAAAGTATATTCAAGCGATTAACCTCCAATAACTACATGGCAATCGTTGAGGTGAATAGCAAAGACGTACCAGTTTCTATTACAAGAGTTAAAATTAAGCGATAGAATTTTTAAAATTTTCAAATTTAAATTTTTTTTTATATTTGAATTTAAATTTTTTTATTAAATTTAAATAAAGTAATACTTGAACAACCACAAATAATCAACTTTTTTAAACCGTTCATATTTTCAAATGGGTATACAAAATATCACTTCACACAAATTGAAATACAAAGATTAAAGCTATCACCAAAACTTACAATTTGCTGAACTCAAAATTTGGTCTTGAATCTTCACACTGTATATAACTTGTAAGATTATTCATAGTATAAAACATTAAATTTCAAAAAAAAATAAAATAAAATCAAGCACACTCTTTTTTAACACAATGGCATAAAAAAAAACTTTTTTTTTTATCTTTCTATTCTTAATAGGCCATTAATAGGCTATGTTAAATTAGACTAATCTTCAACCCATTCCATTAAACTTGACATGCTCTGAATTCTGTTCTGGGCTTCTCTAAGTTGCATTTTAACCTTACTTCAAATTAGGTTGGGTTTAACCTGGAGTGGCCCAGATAGAATGAACCAAAACTAGATATGAAGGTCCCTAAAAATAGAGAAAAGAATTTTAATAAGTTAAAGAATAATAAAATAAGTGATCTTGGTGAAAATAAAATCGAAATAGCAGATATAAAATGTTCACTGATTGTCAAAAAAGCCCGAGATGAAATAACTTCTAATGTCAGTGATTGTTTACCATGATGGAACTGGAGTCAATAACAGTGCACACAAGACATTTGAATATAACTATTACTGCTGATGATAGCAGTTCGAACAAACAAACAACCTTAGATTATATTACCAAATGATATAAGCCTGGATGAGGATAAAAAAAAGGCACTTGAGTGAAATTTGAAATCTGATAAAGGTATAATTATGACGAGTAAAGTTGAAGTCAGTTTTGTGAAAACACTGTTGAAATGGTTTTGAACAGGTTCATGTCATTTGCCTGACAACAATTTGCCCAACAACTATTTTTCTAATAATATTTTTAAAAATATTGGAAAATGGGTGTCGGCAAATTGCTGTCGGGCAAATGATATAAACCTGCTATGAATGCCTGTTTGGTCAGTGAAATCAGTAAAGATCTATAAATTTGAAGCAGTAATTGGTTGTAGTATACTGATGGTAATGCCTAGAGCAGTAATATCTAAAGTTGAAATGATTCGACCATTAAATGTTTGTTACCAATTTACTAACCTTTTTTAAGGAAAAAACTAATGTTTATGGACCTTTTCCGTCATAGTACGTTCAACCTCTCTAAATGCATGCCATAGAAACCAAACTTTCGGTGTATTACAGAGGTCAAGTATATATTCAGGCCAGAATTTAAGTGTGCATTTATAGAGGTTCTGTATTGCAAGAGTGACTTAGGTCTCTACTATAAAGCTAATGTGGGTAATAAAATTTTAATATTAATTTTATTGGTTAATTAACGCACCTAATTTGACGCACCTATGTGAAGATCTACGCTACATGTCACGTGATTTTCAGCATCAGCCAATTTCAGCATCAGCCCTTATATATATTTATAAGAAAAAATGCTAGAAGCATACTAGGGAGCGAAGCCAAAGATCCATTTTAAGATACTATCATAAATGCTGAAAACAACGAAGAGAGAAGCTAAAATCTAAAAAGAAAAAGGAAGTTAATATACAAACAAAAAAACACGTACCAGGAAGCGAAGCCAAAAGTCTATTCTAAGAATCTACTTCATAAATGCCAAAAGTAACAAGAAAAAAAAGAAAGTATACAAATAGAAAAACTATACCAAAAATGCAAGCCGAAGGTCTATTTTAAAAACTACTTTATAAACACTAAAAGCAATAAAGAAAAGAACATGAAAACTTAAAAAAAAAAAAATTAATTATAAACATACTAAAATAAAAAAAAAAAGATCTTGAAATTAAAAAAAAGTAAATGAAATAAATATAAAAAAAAAATTGATTACTGATTTTTAATTGTGATAATGAGTAAATAAAATAAATATAAAAAAAAAATTGAGATAAGTAAATGAAATAAAATATAAAAAAAAATTGATTGCTGATCTTTAATCGTAATGATGTGATGAAGTATTGCAGTCATATTAAACTGATATGTAACTGATTTTTTAAAGTAATATTTTAAAATAATAGGGTGAAATATTTCGTAATACTTATATTTCAAAATATTTCAAAAGTTTTGCAAAATATTATGCCATTTTTATGTTCCGTAAATTATTATGAAATATTTTGCCCTATTAAATTTGCTAATGTTGCTATATCATAATCAAGAAAACTATAGCATTGTATATAACAGTATATATTATAAAGAATTAAAATAGAAAATATAAATAATTAATAAATACAAAGTTTAAATAAATAATCTTTTAGTAAATTATAAATATAACTTCTAGTATAAAACTTTTAAACAGACTATTTAAATAGGCAACTAAAAGTTATATACAGTATATATTTACTCTAATAAGTCAATAAAGTTAAACCAACAAGTAAATTTATTTTATTTTTACTAGTTTAAATCTAAACATGTTTGCAAACTTTAGCAATATACTATATTACTACAATCTCTGTATCTTTATTAATTACAGTATATTTTAACTATATATACTGTATAAATCTATTACTGTATTATAAATATATATACGTATACTGTATACTGTATACATACTGTACTAGAGTATTAAAACAAAACCGATTTATTAGTTAAATTAGACCATGAACTAGTTAGAACAAGTCAATGCAAGCTCTAAATTTTAAATATAGTATAAGCAGCTATATATTCATATATATATATATATATAATATATATATTTAATAAAGTTTATTTATATTACTAACGCTAATACAAAATCTTATTTTAAAGTAAGTTTTAACGTTAGTCATCAAGTATTGGGATAATTATACTTGACCAAAATTAATGTGATAAGAATTTTATTGATGTGAAATAATCGAGTCTGATGCAAGCACGCAATGCATACTTAATTACTAATTTGGCCACAGATGGCCACAAATGATACCAAGTATAGCTGTTCGTGAGTGTGAAACGGAGTACACCATAAAAAAAAACTCTTAACTGTTAGTACCAGTAAACCTTAATCACTTTTTGCCATCACAGACGCTAGGTGTACTATAACGAAAAATTTTATAACCAATATGACAAAAGAAAAAAAGTCAAAGTCAGCAAAGGCCAAAAAAAGTCACAAGAACAAGCATAAGCTTTCGTACAAGGAACCTTTCATTGATGGTAAATATTTTTTTCTCTTTTTCTAGAAGATTTAATTAAAATTGACGCTGCGGCTTCAGATTTCAAAATCTTTCGCAATTTTTTCGTTCAAACCTTGCTTTTTTTCGTAAATTGGTCGTAACTTATAAATTATATTTATTACAAATTCAATAAAATTATTAATCAACAAAATATGACAAGCTAACAACTGTTAATATATTTATTTCATATTTTTAAAGAGGTTCCTACACGGATTAGGCTTTCGTTCAAAAAGAACGCCGATACAGGCAAAAGTAAGTCAAAATCGAAGCGTTCAGAAGTTTCTGAAGATGCTCCTAGAGGAAATGAATTTGACGTAGAGATGCGGGATGCAGTGGTGGACAATTATGATTACGAAGAAGAAGATGTAATGGATATTAGTGATTCCACTCTGAATATTGACGCCGGGGAAACCGGCAATACGAAAATAGACACATCCAAATCTTCAACGACGGCTAACTCAAACAAGATGGTTCTAAAGCTAAAATTCAACTTAGAATCACCTCCAACCACGAAAAAGCATAAACATAAACATAAACATCATAGGGAACAAACTGAAAGTTCATCACATTCACAAAAGAAAAGTTATGGAAATCAAATAAATGGAATATTACTATGTATGAGCGAACCATCGGGAGCAAATTGTTTACGTGCTTCTCCTCTTCTTTGTTTTCGAACTTGTCTCCCTGGTTTTGAAATAGACGTTGCTTAAGGAAAATTTATTGAATCAGAGTCAATTATTAAGTTACCTTAAATCGCAGGTACAATGTAATAAAAAACAAAATTTTATATATACCTCTACTAGACGCGACACCTTGCGCAACATTTGCAGCCTAATTTAAGAATTTCTTTTATTCATATGCAGTTTAGAAAATTCGTATAAACAACGAAAGATTTATTTACCCTTTTTCCGCTCTCAACTCCCAACGCCTTCATTCTCTCCTCTTCCAAAAGAATACTATCTCTTTCGCGTTCTATTGCTTTATCGCCAAATTGCCATAGTTTGTCCGCACTTTTATAATAAAGTGTTTCTGGTGCATTATATGTCTTACAATTATTACATACAAGAGCAAAATCTTCCTATTCCGGCGAAGAAATAAGAATAATTTAAAGTTAATAAGTGTTTCCATTTAAATGATATGTTACATTCATGATTAGTTAAACATACCTTGAATTCGTCAATGGAAGAATATTCATTCCTTTCAATTTTTTTTTCTCATCGTTCCAAAATCCATAGGCTTTTGGATGATTGTGAGGTAATCGGTTACGATAGTGGTATCAACCGGTTCTAAAAAGAAACCGTACGCATCTTTCCTATTAAAGGATTTAAATTTTGTAACTACATTTTTTAATATTCTTGACTATATAACCATAAAATCAATTAATCAATTTACTTGGTAAAAGAATCCAGCAATTTTGTCAAAATTGTTTTCAGATCCTTTTTCTTTTTTTGCCAGGTCCAAGTTCGTGGCGTTGCTTTACGCTGCGGTTCTTGTAATTTTGGAGGTCTTCCAAGTTTGCGTGCTGGCCCTTTTTTGCCAACAGATTTTGACATATTCGTATCTTCTTTTGTGACAAGATCAGAATTGATAATTCCACTCGAAGTTTCATTTAGATCTGATGTAATCGCTTTCGTTGTTTCTTGTGAAGGTGGTATTGATGGTTGGGATTCGTTTGAAATAGATGAAGTTACATCTATTGTGTTAGAAGTAATTTCTGCGGAAGTTTCGCCTTTGGATTGACAAAATGACTTCGTATTAACTGATTTTGATGAACTACGTTCATCGATCTTTGTTTTTGTATCTTCTGTAACTGGCGGGTATGACCGTTTTTCACGAAGCGAATATGTGGATGTGTTGATTGCAAGTTCAGACATCAATGATTCTTTCGAATCATGATTGATTCCTTTTATAATATCATCGTCTAGAGTATACTTTTCGTCTATTTCACTTTTTACAAGATTCTCACCCTCATAATTGACTAAATTCCCACCATTATTATCATGATGTAAAATTTCCTTGTTTTTAACATCATTTAATGTTTGACTCTTTTCAACTTTGACCTTTTTAACAACACCTTTTAAAGAAGTCTTTCCTTTCTTGTCACGAATCGACATATAATCAACATCTGTCGAACGTTTCCCAACAGAATCGCCGATTAAGCCCTTATCGGTATTACTAGTGTATGACTTATTCATGTTGGATTTGCTCGTCAACCTTTTCTCTGTTTTTTTGGTTTTATCGATCACATGCCGTTTAACACTATCGCCACATGTTTCTATGCTTCTATGTTCCCCGTTAATCTCAACTTTCTCATTAATATCATCATGATGGCGTTTCGCTTTTTTTCGTACATGAGATGATTTGCTATCGTATTCTTTTAATAGATCGCCATTTTTATCGGACTCGTCATTTGAAGAATCACGCGTCGTACGTTTACCGGTAACTTTTTTATGTGAATGTGATGAACTTTCAGTTTGTTCCCTATGATGTTTATGTTTATGTTTATGCTTTTTCGTGGTTGGAGGTGA